GTGGTTAACAGAAGACTTAATGATTTACTTTTTTAAAAAATTTTTATTTTGAAGGTAGTAAAATACAACAGAACAAGACAGAATAAAGCCAACTGAGACAGTGTAGTGAAGTTGGTACAGAACTTCACAGCAGGTTACCAGGATAACAGTAATAGGTATCACAATATATCTCGTTATCTTCACAATAGTTGTTCTTTCAATTACATATGTTAAAATAAAATGAAATACAGAACATTATAGAACTTATCAAAACAGACCATTGAATAGAGCAATACCATCAATCAGAATAAAACAAAACACTAATAAAAATATTGGCCTTCAAACAGATGGTAGAGGGAAATCCCTCTTATTTGCTATGGTCAACTTCCCAAGAGATGCCCAGATTTCGGGTTCCCATTTGCTAACGGGAGGCAGGAGAAGTGGGGTAGAGAAAGTGGAATGTTTGACTCTCAGGCTGTGCCCCAGTAGGTTCACTATTGCTTAGCAGGGAGGCAGACTGGTTGCTTGGTTTCCCAGTGCCCTAAGATCCAACATGGTGTGGATCTCAGGAGATACTGGTGGTTCTCCCCCTGGAGGGGCCACAGCCTGCCACACCACAGCTGCTTACCAGGGAGGCAAACTGTTTGCTTGGTTTCCCAGTGTTCTAAGTTCCAACATGGTGTGGATCTCAGGAGACACTGGTGGTTCTTCCCCAGGGGCAGCTGCAGCCTGCCACACCACAGCTGCTTACCAGGGAGGGGAGCTGCTTGCTTGGTCTCCCAGGGTCCTAAGTTCCAACATGGTACAGATCTCAGGAGATGCTGGTGGTTCTTCCTCAGGGGCAGCCACAGCCTGCCACATCACAGCTGCTTACCAGGAAGGGGAGCTGGTTGCTTGGTTTTCTAGGGTCCTAAGTTCTAACATGGCTCAGATCTCAGGAGACACTGTTGGTTCTTCCCCAGAGGTGGCTGCAGCCTGCCACACCAACTTAATGATTTAACAAAGATAAAATAATGATAATTGGATTGAAACCTTCCATTCAGATAGGAAAATATGTTTTATAAAGCACTATTTCTTTTTTTAAAATTTTTAAAATTTTTATTTTTTATTATTTTTTAAAATTTTATTTAAGGAGAAAAAGAAAAAAAGCAGAAAAAGGGTACAATTTATACAGAATTTCATAAAAAATAAATAGTAGGAAATCACTAGTTAATGGATTACATATTGTCATCTTAGAAATATTTGTTCAAGTTACAAAATTAAAGCTTATATATAGTGGATATTCAAACAGTGAGACCAAACAGTTCTGTTCAATGATCCAACAAAACTCAGTAATATCATTGTCTATCTTATACACTTCAGTATACATGCAGTTATATTGTATAGAGCACTTTCTTTTCCTCTCTTTTGTACAATGCTTATTACACATTTTGGGTTTTATTGCTCCCATAGTTCTTATTACTTTTTTTGGAAGAGAGTAAAACCAAATGTGACATAACAGAACAGAGTTGGTCAAATCAAAAAGGTGGACATAATAGATAATGTAAAAACATAATACAAGGTGATCAACAATGGTTACCATAATGTCTCCTGCTATCTCTAATAGAATTGCCTATATCATCAGTTATAATAAAATTGAACAAAACAGTAAAGAACGAAACCAACAAAACCAAAACATTGGAGACATTACAGGTCTTTGAAAGTAGATAGTATTCAACCAGAATGGGCGTCAAAATGAATCCCACTATCTTCACAGCTGTTGCCTAAACTTTCGAACCTGGTACTATTAAGCAAAACAGAATAGAGGAACATCAGTCAAAACAAGATGGTGAGAGCAATACAGGGCTTCAAATCAAGTTAATAGTAAATCAAAGTGGGTTACTATAATATATCCTACTATTTTTTATGTATTTTTCCCTTAATTAAAAGGATAAAAATAAAAAAGTAAATAATAAAATGGAGATTGAGATAAAAGAGGGCATAACAACAAAACAGTGCAGATCAAAACATAACCATTTAAGCAAAATAGTGTTTTACCACAAGATAATCCCGACATAAAAGTAGTTACCATATTGTCTCTTTCCTTGAAATCCTTGAGTATAACTTCATAAATTGTAGCATCAAATATATCAAAACAATGTAAAACCATTCAAGAGAATGACAGTATTACAGGGTATTTAGAATCAACTAACAGAAAATGAACAATGGTTTCTGTATAATCACCTTGTCTATAAAAGTTTTTGTTTATACTATCACATATAATAAAATCCAATAAGATACAACATGTTAGGACCAATGGAGACAGAAGAACAAAAGCTTGATGAGACTTCAAAACAAGATTATACTAAATCAGCATTACCTATTATGACGTTGTTTTCTAATCTTCTCTGCCTCATTTCTGTTGAGCTCTTTTTCTGTCATTAGTTGTCAGTTTGTCTTCATTTTGTTTTCTGCTCCATTCATTGTGGCCTCTCTGCCACTATTTCTGGATTCTTCGTATTTTTCTTTTTTAGAATATCCTGCAGTATTCTCTGTAGAGTTGAATTGGTGGTTGCATATTCCCTTAGTTCCTTTTTATCCTGGAAGCACCTTGTTTTTCCATCAATTTCCAGGGATAGTTGTGCGGGATATATCAATCTTGGCTGGAGGTTATTATCTTTCAAAGCTTGAATTATTTCCCCCCACGTTCTGCATGATTTGATGGTTTGTGCCGAGAAGTCTGCTGTAATTCTGATCGGTGTTCCCTTGTAAGTGATCTGTTTCTTGTTTCTGACAGCTTTTAATATTCTGTTCTTATATTGGATTTCTGGTATTTTGCTTAATATATGCCTGGGTGTAGCTCTGTTTGGGTTGTAGGTGGCTGGGGTCCTGAATGCTTCATACATCTGAGTATCTGTACCTTTTGCTAAATTAGGAAAATTCTCCTGGATTATTTCTGTGAGTAGCTTTTGTAGTTCATTTGTTTGTGTCCCTACCTCTTCTTTTATGTTCTTAATTCTTAAGTTATAGATCCTCTTATCATCTTCTAGTCTTTGTATTATTGCTGTTTGTTTCTTTGTTATTTTTAAGAAGTTTTTCATTTCATGCTCCCATATTACAAATCTGGCCTCCAGTTCAGATAATCTATCCTTAGTTTCTTTCAAGCTGTTATGCCAGCTTTCTATAGAATTTTTAGTTTCCTGGTAATCTCTTTGAACCTGCTTCAAGTATTCTATGCTTTCTCTATTTTCTCCATCAATCAATTCTCCCCTCTTTTTCTGTTCTTCCATTCCACCATCTGTTTTTTCTTGGGTGGTGCTTAGCATTTCTCTAACTATTCTGCTTATGTCTCGCTTCAGGTCATTAATAACTTCATTCCTGAGCTCGTCTATGAGGCTCTGGAGATAGCGCTTTATGTCTCTTGGTGCCGTGTCTGCTATTGCCTGTTTCTCAGGAATGGGGGCCGAGGCACCTTTCTTGTTGCTCCCTCTTCCCATATTCTTTGTTCCTTATAAATGCAAGCATATATAGGAGGCCCAGCTTCCTTCCCTGTTGGCCACAGTCTGATTGAATTGCGCTGGCTAGGTGTTCCCGCCTACTGCAGCGCACCAGGGAGTTGTGGAGCTGGCAGCCTATGTGGGGCCCACCCCTCCAGGTCACCTCCAGGCACTGGGACCTGGGTTGTGCTAGCCTACTGGGTCTCAGCCAGTGGCATCACGCAGGCTAGGCACTGCCCACCAATCCCACTTGAGAGGGGGATATGTGACTGAAGTCACTACAGCGCCCTGTTCCGGCAAGTCTGCCCTATCCCAGAATGTCCTCTGTTGGAGCTTCCTAGACAGTGGAAGAGTCCCATTTTCTCTTACTCACCACAGGTTGATGCATAGCTCCCTGCCTGTCCCACTCTCAATTCCATTCACCGATTCCCGTTCTCAGAGCTTTCCTGCGTCTCTCTCCCTGCCGAGCTGATTCAGACGCAGCCACAGCGGCAGGAAACCCAAATCGCGGCTTCCAATGGCGCAGGCTCCAGCTTCCACGCTGAGGCTTTATCTGTTCCTGTTATAGCACCAGGATTGCATTCCCAGTTGGTTTCTCTCAGCCCAGTTCGTTCTTGGGTCAGCAGGGTATATCTCCTCTTGCTTAGGATTCCTCACTCCGTACCATTCCTGGATTCTAAGCTGGGTCTCTCAGAGAGCCTCTGTAGCTGCTGCTATCTGTCCGCCATGTTCTCCCCAAAGCACTATTTCTTTTAAATGTTATAAGTGAAATGAAATGGATGAATTTTTTTAAATTAAAAATTTTTTTTATCACTTTGCTTTAGAGCTTAGAAAACTATCTGGTGCTATTTGTATTTTTGTGACCCAGCTTTCACCATAATAGTTACCAAAGGAGAGTTAAAATCAACACAGAGTTTATTGTTAAACATTGACTCACTGCTTTATTCACTTTCCCCAAAACAAACACAGATTTTTTTTTTTTTTGTATTGAGGATCCGATAGAACTTACAACCTTGTGATTACCAGGCAGGCTGTCATGCCACTGAGCTAAATCCCCATCCCTAAATACAGATTTTCTGCAATGCATTTTTGACCACCAGTTAGCAGCCACGCTTATCTTACCACCTTGGCCACTGTGACACCTAAGGCTTTCCGCTGCCTGTTTCACCTTTCCAGTGCTTTCATTCTGAAAGAGGGAAATGTGTGGAATTTTTATAAAGCTTCGTTCTCTGCACTGAGCACACAGAACTGCTCAAAAGCTAGAAATCGTTAGATGAAGCCATGAGTAATCACCTGCATTTTAAACTGAATTTGACTAAAAGGCACTTGAATTCACTTTTTCCTGTTTAACCTTGTATAATGGCAAACAAGATTCATGAGCAGCTATTGCAAGCTGACTTGTATTTTTCTTCAGCTACCCTCTCTTTTCCCCCAGGTAGCAAGGTGTAGGAAGTACACTGTAATTTGATAGAAACAGTGAGCTCTATTTTGATTGTTCACCAAGGACTGTTTAAATAAACGACTGGAAAGAAACCTGAATAGACATTTGAAGTTTTATGGACTCTTTATTAGGATATTAAGATAACAAATGTAATACACACTAACCACAAAAGAACAATGTTAAATTTTCTCAAAGTGTGCATGATGACATGAATCTAGTATTTTTTTCAGGTTTCATAATTAATAATTATCCTACAAATTGACACAGAGAGTGAAATTACTATAAGTTAAATTGCTGTTCATAAACAGTGTACAGTCTATTGTATATATTGATTTAAAGTTAATATTAACTATTTAGTACCTATGCATTGTTACCAAGCAACTACTTTCATTTTCTTCTCACACATGCAAACATTTTGCTATATATAAAGCTACCAGTATCATGGTCATATATATTTCATAAGTGGTTAGAACAGAGGAAGATGCTTGAAAGTTTGAGTCCTTTCAATCTTATTTCAGAACAGGAGATTTTCATCTATGTCTTCTGTAAAAAACAAAACAAAACATACTTTTAGAAAATCAAGGAAATAGCATGAACAAATAATGTTAGAACTGGGTGATCAGAGAAACCTTCTAATATGTTGGTACTGTGGTGACTGTCAACCCTGGGGAGGCATCAGTGTTACCCATGATCTCTAAAACGTATATATTTCTTGGACCTTGTCCCTGGCCTCTGGAAGCAGCAGCTCTAGGCGTGTACCAGTGGTAGACGAACACATAGACATCCTTGCAGGACGCACTGGCAGGAAAGAGGTTATGGGACGGGCCAGCCAAGTGTGTTCCTATAAGGGCAGCTGAACTCAATAGAACCAGGCAAAGTATATCACTAGTTCAATCAGGCTTCCAGTTGTGTGACTTGTAGAACTTGCTGCCATCCTGTGGAAGATGACCGCATCCTCTAGAGTGGATGTTAGGCCACTTCCTTACAGCATGGCTCACTCAGATGTATGTGGATGTATTTTCTCCATAACTATTTTACTTATTTATTGGTACCAGGGGTCGAACTCATGACCTCACGCTTGCCAGGCAGGTGCTTATGCCGCTGAGCTAAATCCCTGGCTGTCAATAACTATTGAACAAATGTTTACAGCAGATTAATTTGAGGCGTACTGAATAGCTACTCTGTCTAGGTAACAGGCAATTTTCTTGCCCAATTATCTAGCCAGAACAGTGGGAGGATTATAGACTTTGATTTATTTCTTTTGAGTACTGGCTTCATTATTAAAATGGGCCTACTCGCTTCATTACTTCTAAATTTTTTCAGAGACATAAAGGGTTTATTAGGCAAAACTTGAAGAAAATACTCAAGGAAAACAGAATTGGGTCCTCAAGAGAGAGGTGCCCTGTTACTTAAAGGTTGTATCTGAACACTATTTTTTGGCTGTTTCAGAGCTGTCCTTCCTATCGGTCTAAGCTAAATTACCTACTGGTGTTTAAGATCTCTTTGGAACTTAGATTCTCTAATTATCCCTCCCTTACAAGCTCAGCGTTTCCTTTCTGACTGGACCCTTCCTCTTGGTATTTAAGAGGTCTGTAAGTCCGACCTCTAAAACAGTGCCTGTGTGAACCAGTAGTCAAGTGGGTGTCCAGTGATGAGTGGATGAAGGAATGAATGAACTGCTCAGAGTCTTATTTCCAAAACATGCTTCCTGCAACTCTTGCCCTTTCCTGCCTTCAAGCATCCACTCTTCCTTCTTTCTCAGCTCCCATTATTTCCCAGCCTCTAGAATCTGTTTTCCATCTGGACCTCTCTACCGGAACTGCTCTTAGCAAAGCCACAGGTATCTTATTTCCCCTTCCAAAGCGCAGTCTCGTTCTCTCATCCTCCTTGGCATCTCAGCAGCATTGGGCACTGTCAGTCTCTTCCTCCCCTTCGAAATACCTCCTTTGACACAGGGCCCCACTGGTTGTCTTCCTTCATTTCTGGAGACACTCTCCGTCCTCTTAGTAAACGCTTTCTTCCTCTTGTATCTGATGTCTAGTTGCTGCTCTTCCTGGGAGTTTGGTTCTCCATGTAGATGTTCAGCTCTTTGCTGTAGATGTTCAGCTCTAGATGTAGATGTTCAGTTCTCGATGTAGGCCCCTTTTCCATGTAACTTCTCTTTGGGAGAATCATTCATTCCTTTTTGATTTTTACTCTCCATGTGTTCACAATCCCAAGATGTATATTTCAGCTTCAGAACTCTATCTTGACATGCAGACCACACTGTACTACTTCTCTCCAACGTCCCCATCTCACCTCCCCCATGGGAACTTGCCTTCTTATTTCTACACACTGTGTACTTTCAGCTGCTTGTCTTTACATAGCTTGGATATGTTGCAGCTCTGTCTCTTCTGGTCACTTCACTGTCCAAGTTCTCCTCAACTCTTGCCTGCATTTATCACAGTGTCCTCTAGCTATTCTCTGGCCTCACATCAGTACTGCTAGAGGTCTGGAGCAAAAACGCACTTCCTTGCGTGATAATTCCTCAGCACGCTTCGGATGGTGTCTCTGAATGGCTTTGCAGGACCTGCATGGTCTGACTTGTTCACCCTAGCAGTCTCAGAGAGAAAGTTCTTAAAGATTATCATGAATAGATTGTCAGTGCACAGTGTGTCATGGGAGCTAGGTAAGTGAGCCCCCAACCATCCTATTGAGCCCCACTATTACAGGTAAAGAAGACGAGACTCACTGAGGAATGTGACAGGCCTGTTGCACACAGCTAATGACACAGCTGAAACATCGGAACACTTCTGGTTTATTTAGGTCCTGGACAGTTAGCACTCGGGAGCGTACTGGCTATTTTCTTCATGGATTTCTCAGCCTCGAGGCAGGGAACCTGAGTTTTAATTTTTTCTTTTCCCTAGCCCTAACCCTTGTTTACTTATTCTGACTGAATATTTGAAATCTGTGTCATTGGTTAATATTGTGATCATTTCCTTTCTTCAGACTAACCTAGTATCAGCCAAATCACACAGCACAAACAAGATCATCCGCAGCACCGCCAGGCAGCAGCCTCCAAGCCCTTCCTGCCCTTTCCCGACAGCACCCAACACAGCTTCGCCGGCTCCCAGGCTGAAGAGCTGCCAGCCGCTTTGGAAGGGACAGGCCAGGGGCAACTGGTTTCCTATTTAAGGAAACCAGCGGATTTTATCCAAGTTTGCCTTATTTTAGGTCTTTAAAATTATACGTCTTGACAGGCATGGTGGCACACACTTGTAATCCCCTGCATGCAGGAGGTTGAGGCAAGAGGATCACCATGGGGGTTTACATAGTGAGACCCGGTCTCAAAGAAACATACATAGCGGAGCACACACTTATAATCCCAGCACTCAGAAGGCTGAGGCAAGAGGATTGCCGAGAGCTCAAGGCCAGCCTGAACTGTATAATGAAACCCTGCCTCAAAAAATACAAAACAAAACAGAACCAAAAGAAATAAAATCCCTCAAAAAACAAACAAAACCATCAAAAAACCAAATATATACTTATATACAAAAAATAACATCCTATGAGAGCACACAGGCAGAAATATTCCAGTTAGGCTCCCCTGTTTGACCGTGGTGGGATGGGGTAGGGTATGGGGCAGCTGTCTTTGGTACCCTTTGTCTTTTTAATAGGGGAGTTAACAATATTTAGGGATATACTTGAATTTTTTTGTGAGTACTCTGCTTCTAGAACAGATGCTCTTCTAGAAAAGAAATTAACATTATTTATATGTGTCTGTAGCTTAATAGCTTATTAATTTCACATCAAGTATAACAAGATCCAGCTTCCAGGATGATTTTCAATGATCTCCCTCCACCTCCAGTGTGACCAACGCAATATGGCACAATTAGTAGTGTGGGCTTCAGCCTTTCTCTCTCTCTCTCTCTCTCTCTCTCTCTCTCTCTCTCTCTCTCTCTCTCCCACTGAGAGAGACTTCCACTGAGCCACTCCCAGATTCCTGACCCTTGAGACTGTGAGGGAGATTTCAAGATGCTAAATTTGGAGAAATTTTTTTATGCAGTATTGGCAGCTCATACAGAAAACCAAGTGCTTACAAAAATAGATACTGTTTGTTGCAGCCATTTCCATCTTACAGAATATTTTAGAGGAAACGGAAATGGGTGAACCATTTACACTGACCTATTTATCAGTAAATAGGTCCTTATCTCCTCAGTTCTTTCTCTGACTTCAAGACATATCCATTGCTACAAAGACTGTTTTTAAAGTGAAATTCATACAAGTCTCCTCTTTTTGGGAAATTCTGACCTTTGGTTAACCTTTACTTTTCTGGTTGGCTAAAGTTAGACATAAAACCTCTGCTTTAGCATTTTGATGGTTACTGTTATTTATACTCTAAACAGTTTGAAAGCTTGCTTTTAGACAGACTTGACTATTGAAAACGTACTTTCATAAAATTCAACTCAAAGAAAAGGAAGTCAATCAAGACGTAGCCCAGCATAATGAATGTCTGAATTTGAATTCCTCCCCTGTAAGAAAATAGAGAACCACAGCCCATCCCAGTTACTGATGACACAGCCATGGGTCTATTCTGAGTTAAGAATTAGTATCTGGGTGTACCTTGTGACGTAAGAGCCTGTCTTTAGCAGGTCACAATGACTTCCAAGGCCCCTCTGACGTCTCTCATTGTCAGAAGCAGACTTGTTTGACTTTTCCCGTGTGATTTTTAAAGTTTGACTAGTGCTCAGGTTGAAGAGGGGTAGAAGGAGAAAGAGGACAAAGCCCTCTGAGACCTGGCAGGCTCTGTGGATGACTCCTGCTTTTTTGGCAGGCTGCCGAGTCTCCGTGCACGTTTCTCCTTGCTGTCCTCTGAAAGCAGGTGACCTTGCAGTGGCAGCCTTTGCACAACGCAGCCCTGCCTGGGATGCTGCACCTCGGTGTCTTAGGGGCACCTCCAGTTGGATTCCTGGGAGGCATTGTCCTGAGTTCTGGGTTTTTATCTGGACTCATGTGGGACATTGCTGTGGGATTTAGGCTCTTGACTAAATAATCTATGTCTTTGGTGTTGTGGATAGATTTCCTGCATTTTCCTATGTTAACTCCTAGTGGCCATTATAAAAAAATAATATTATAAACTCCATGTCTTGATCCTAATTGTTCTCTGTGTACAACCCCTGACTACAACAAGTAAGAAAACACTGCTGCCCTTTGGCCAGTGATGAGTTTACCTTCTTTAATGCCGAAGCAGTGGCCCCACTCCTTCAAGGTGATGTGCTTGTCCTTGTTGGGGTCACACTCCTCGAAGAAACGGGTGATGCAGTGCTCCATGGGCACCAGAGAAGCTCGCAGAGGAGCCAGTTCAGAATGTGTCAAGACCCTGCAGTGAAGCAGATGCCAGCCTGTTTATTACCAGAGTGGCTTGAGTAGGAAGACTTGCATCTTGGGCTCACCAAGAACAGGTCCGAATGGACCCTCCCAAAGTTACAGAGTATGCTAGATATATAATGTACAGAGTGAAAACTGTAAATTAAATAGCTTGTGGGTAAGAGTGACAGGTTTTGGGATAACAGTTCTTCAGGTTTCTGTCTCCATTGGAAACTGTCCCCTCGGGGCTGGAGATTTAGCTCAGCTGCATAAGCGCCTGCCTTGCAAGCAGGCAGTCGTGAGTTCAATCCCCGGTACCGGTAAAAAGGAAAAAGACAAAAAAAAAAAAAAACAAAAAAACCCCAAAAAAACCCCAAACAAACAAACAAACAAACAAACAAAAAAAACCTGTCCCCTCTCCACCCTAAATCCATAGCTGCATACTGAGCAATCCTGCTTGTAATCCTGGTAACACTTGACTGTTCATGATGTAGGTGCCTCCCCCATGGTTGGCCATCGGAGTATCTTAGAAATTTAGGATGAAGAATGAGAAAGTTGAAAGAGTCTCTATGGGAAGGCTGGACCTTAATGTGTGAATCTGGGAGCTATGGTATAGCCATATTCTGTTATTATTGAAAATTTTGTGTTGGATTCCTAACCATGATTATTTGGCATTTCATTGCTCTAAAATGGAACTGGAAATCTTCCTAATTTTATTTCCATTCTCCTTTGCATAGACACCATTATATCAAAGACTGGCCTGGAAATGAGAGGTCAAGAGTTTCACCTGTCCATAGGGTGCCGGTCAAGCTCGCTGAACTGCCAGTGTACAGGATACACGTACATATGGTAGTTTTTCTTAAAATCCCTTAAGAGCAGTTCAATGGGATGGTCCCCAGCTAGAAGTCTCTTCTCATCCAGGTAGATCTTCTTGACCTGGGATTAAAGAAAGGTGAAAGACCGTCAGAGCATTAGACCAGAGTAAAGGAATTGCCACTATATAAGCTACCTGAAGGATAACAGAAACATGACAGAGGAAACCTGTCCAGAGCATCCTGTAAAACCCAGCTAAATATCTCCTAATCCACACCACAGCCTTTCTTTACAGAGTAAAGCTGGTGTAAGAAATTCATTGCTTTCAAAAGAATTCAAGACTTTTTGATCTTCTCTTTTAACCAAGTAAGCTCATTGCCTTTTTAAGAATTTGAGAAGGTTATTGTGAGAAGAGATGAACATTCTTGATTAGTTTGGAGGAACCCTATTCCTTCTCCAAGTGGTGTATGCCATTCTTAGTCCTCTATGTATTCCAGCCAGTGTCTGCTAATTTCTGTGTAGCCTGGTCTGCTGCCGCTTGGCTGCCCCACTGAAATAGATCCATTGTGAACTTAGTGCTCTTGAGACTGTCTTAAGGTATGCGCCCCTGTAATCTTGGGAGGCTGAGGCAGGAGAATGATTTGCAAGTTCGAGACCAGTCTGGGCTACTAATTGAGCTCAAGGCCAGCCTGAACTGAATAGCAAGACCTGTCTCCAAAAAAATAAAAAGTCTGTGATAATGTATTAAAGAGGGGGGTCAGATACACAATGCACATGAAATCCTTACTTTGGGTCATTACCTATTTACTGAGCAACTGGAAGCAATCACACAGAGCCTCCACCCTGTCTCATCTGCCCATCTCCTGCCTCCTGCCCATCCTCCTGACCAGCAGGGAGCTTCCTGTACTCCTAATGGAAGCCTTATCCTGCATTTCTTAATCCTAATATACTGTGGATGTTATGAATAACAGGTTTCCCTTTTATACGACTTCTAAATCTTGTCTGTGTGGGCAAAATATCTCAGACTTAGAGCATGTTTGGATCTGAGTACATCAAAGCCCCTGTGCCTAGGGCTCACTCCTGGGATGGGGTGGGAAGTGTGCAAGCCCAGCTGGAAACCTTCCAGGCTTGTGGGGTGAGCCTGTGAAGAGTCCTGGGACGCAGCCCTCCCTTGCTTCCTTCATTCCCACCTCTCAGTGGGGCGCGCAGCTCCTCCTGGACAGCAGCCAGCTGTGACTGCTGCTTCAGTGCAGGCCTGAATGGTGGAGGAAGAATCATCACAACTGTAAGCCAACCTTGTCTCTTTTTAAGATTCACCATCTCAGGTATTTGTCACAGGAACAGGAAGCTGGCTGACACAGGGCCTGACCACACAGATTCTGAATTCATATTAGGTGGGCTCAACCACAGCTTTCTCTGGTATAATTTAAGGGGCCCTCATTCAGGCCACTGCAGTTTGGGTAGGATGGGGACAGTTAGTGTCCCAAGCCCTGTGACATGAAGGGTGACCACTTCAAAGGTATTAATCCTGTGCAGAGGCCAAGGAGGCCTCTGCACCATGCTGAGGTTGGTGACCACATCACACCATTTCCTCAGGCACCTGGGCTATGGCAAACTCACCTTAGTCCTCTGCTTCTCATTTAGATACCCAGCGTGCTTCGGGTTAGGTTCATAAAGCTGCATAAGGATATTCTTGAGCCAGTCTCTCATCCGCAGAGGAAACTGAGCCACTTCGAAGTCAGTACACACAGGAATAGCTGTCAGGAGCAGAAAACACACCTCATTTGTGGGCCTTGCTTCTGCCCTGTGGCAAGTGCTCATAACTGGAAGCCCAGCAACTTCTGGATACTGGTATTGCTTCCCCCTGCCTCATTATCACAATAGCGCTTCTTGCCACAGTGGCACTACAGAATTGCCAGGGTGTTTAGAGACATCAGATAACAGATTCCACTTGAAGAAACTCTGATTTGCTTTGCCTAGGGTTGAGGCTGGACATTGGGATGTTTGAAAAATTGCTTAAACATTTGTTTTATGTGTAGCCAGGCCTGAGAACCAGTGCTTGGGAACAGAGAGATGAAATTTAGAAGAGCAGGGTCTGAGAGCTACTTATTAGAGGAAGAGGTAGCTGACATACACTACAGTGGCAGATATTACTAACGAAAGCTTAAACACCCTGCTACAAGCCCAGAGCAGCTGGCAGGAAGGCTGTGCACTTCATAGCTTCTTCTGGCCTCATCTTTTGCAGCTGCCATCTGGAGATAAGGCATTGAGGTGGGTGTGGCAGAGAGGGGCATGGAAAACCACATGCCATCTCCTAAGTGCGTCTGTGAAGGACACACAGGGATGAACCTGCCCACTCACTGGACAGAGCAGAGCACAGCACCACACCTACCATCACTAGCATGATGAGCTTAATGCTTTTGGGAGCCTGGAAGGCAAACAGTGTGGAGAGGACCACCCGGAAGACTCTCCTTGAATAAAGAGCAATTAACTCCACTTTGGCTAAACCTGGCCCTGTCTCCATGTGCTGACGTGCACAGAGCTGGCTGAGCCATTTCCTTTTCCCTTCAGTTGGCTCTAAGCAATATACATAGGGCTGGCTGAGGTGCTGATGTGTAATCTTTAAAGCTAGGTGATGGTTGTCACTGTTTCCCTGCCCGGTGACTTCCAAAATACATGGTTGAGCTGGGTGGGATGAGGAGCCACCACTCCATTCTGTCAACTGGGATGAGCCTTGAAATAAAAGGTTATGACTTCCCAGGGCAGAAGGATTTCCACATCAGAGCTGAAACACCACCCCAAAACTTTAGATGCCGCCTCAGTTGTGTTATGCAGATTACCCTTTCTGCATATCCCTCCCTCTGCTACTGCAGAGGTGATCTCAGGCCACCATCTGACCCAGCTCATAGTCAGCTCCCTTTCTCACAGGCACTCATCCTCAAGCCACGTCCTTCATAAGTTAATAAAATCCAGGTAGGGTCCTGGGTCAAGGCCTTTGTTCCGGCGAACCACTATCTTGGTTGACTTAGGACTCCCTTGGTTCCCAATGATTATAGATATGCCTTAGTGTCTTTATTCTCTCCATGAGTTGCACTGGAATTAGCAGCTTGGAATTAACTTGCTGGAGTTTCAATAACTTTTCCATGGGATGAAAAAATATAAACTTTCCAGACTGTGATGACTAGGAGGAGCTCCCTAGAGAACAGAGCCAGGTTGTGGCCAGGGGGTTTTCTGTTACTGAGAGGAGTCAGACACAGTGGAGAGTATCCTGGGGAAGGGTGACTACTTTAGAAAACTTCTGGGAGAATATATTGACACAAAATTCTCAGCAGACTAAAATTGGGAAAAGGGCAAATAATTTCGAAAATTCGGCCAACTCATTTCTATTGTGAAATGGATAACATTATCTTGGTGGCTCTGAGTCCTGGCTTCACATTAGAATTGTCTAGGTTACTTGATAAACAAATAAAAAATAATATCAGGGTTCTAGCCCAGTCCAGTTAAATGAGAGTCCCTGTGGTTAAGGCCTGGAATTTACTTTATAAGTCTCCTCATTTGACTTGAGTGTTTACCCTGTGCTCACAACTGCACGAGCTTTTTCTTATTTGCATACACTGAGTTCAGCCATGTAGAGATTCACCCCAGCCCTCCCGGAAATGGTGGCTGTGGTCATGAGGATGTCTTACATTTGCAGGCCCCAAAATAATCCAGTTGCAGTTGGTGTCCCTTTTTGGTCCCCTCCAGTCTGCACTTAGTAGCGAAGAGATGACAGGAGCTCGCATAGGTCTGGTTGTCGGTGCCACAAGCCTGGGAAAGACAAGCGAGAGCCAAAGCAGATGGAGCTGATGCTCACTGGAAAACGCTGTTCCCGAGCCCTCAGGGGCATCTCACACACAGAGCTGTGCCAGCAATGGGGTTGGATCAGTGACAAGATGAAAACTGCACTTCTCCACACAAGCTTAGAGACCACATAGGTATCCAGATTACAAATAAAAACCAGGGTAACACATGGATACTAAGGAGCAGGGAGGTACACCTTTCTCTCTACTCAGAGAGATAGAGGGGAAAGGGGAGCAAAAAAACAATTACTGCATGTTATATACATGGACAAACTCCCCACAGTAAATGTAATCATTATGCCCTGCAAACATGTATCAATAGAAAATAAAAATAAATAAAAAACAAAACCAGAAAAATCAATTATGATGCAAAAACAGACATATTGTGTACATGTACCAGCTCTACACAATGATTGGAAACCTGTGCAGCAAACGTGTACTAATTTAAAAAATGACACCAAAAAATTACAGTTCTCCAACACGGTTCAAAAACTACTAACCTCCACTAAATCACACCACTGATGGTGACAGTTTAGCCCTGGGTCAGTGCGGTGGGGTGAACTTTGCAGATGTTCTGGGGATAAATGAGTTTTAAAATGAGTATGAACTCATCAGTGCCTCTTTATGGAACAGCTGGCACACTTTGATTTGGCTGACATTTCTTTTTATTCTGTGTCACTTCAAATATTCTTGCAGCCGTGGGCATCTTGGGGAGCACTCACTTGGTCAAGGGGCTTTGCCGGAGGACATGTCTCTGGGTCTTGGCAGACGCAGTGGGGCGTTCCCTGCGGCTCAGCCTTGCAGACGTGCCCTCTTTTACACTGGAAGTTCACACAGGAATCTGACAGAGAAATGTGGAAAAGGGAACACAGACAAAGAGGAACTGAATGCGTGGATACGATTAGGTTCATTTTCATTAAGAAAGCGGAGAATTTGAAACCCTTGAAATTAGTAAATTTGCCAGTGGGAAAACATGGGAAACTACTTTAATTGATGTATTAATTTCCAGATGGAATCGTCTGCCACCAGAATTTAACATGATAGCCTATATTTCGTCTCGTGGCAGTGTGGACTGCAGATGTAGGAACAAACAGCTTTTGTTGGCCTGCCTGCATTGCATAGCATGGAGTGTGTTGGGCAGATTGCTCCAAAGTGAAATAAGCCAGGAGAATTTTATTATATCAAAATCAAACATATTTGTGAATGCGGTAGGAAGTAGGCTCTTCATTAAGTAAGGGATCTAAACTCCGTAGTACGAGATGGCAGCGAATAAAGTTGAATTAATTCTCTGGAGCCAATTAGCTTTGCAGTGATATCTCAATGGGACTTTCAGTTCGTCAACACATTAACCCAGCATTTATCAAACAAGCACAGGAAATAACAATCATGGGAACATGTCCTTTCGGAGGACTGGGGAGAGGGAAGGTAAGGGCAAAACTGGAATTTGCCAAAGGGGAGATTCCAGGTGGCTAGTTCTGCCTCCCCTGGACATGGTCACAGAGGGCTGGCTGCCCACATACTCACCAGTGCCGTGTGCCCGCATGTGGCCTTCACTGGAAGCCTCTTCTTCATTCGAGGAGCTCTGTGCGTTCTTGTCCTTTAAAATATTGAGAGCAGAAGATGAGCTGTTAATTAGTTTCCATACTATAAATTATAATTTATATCCCCACTGTGCATGCTTCTGATGCCCAGGCTATGTCAGGTTTGAGAGCAGAGCCAGCAGCAGCTGCAGACAGGTAAAGTGACCTGTGGAGGGCAGGACCTCATCTGCCTTCACCAGCTGCTGCGGGCAGAGCTGTGTCCTGGGGCCCTCACCATGCTTTAGAATTTCCCGTTTGGAGTCCGAAAGCACTAGCAATGCAGAACTTACTACAGTGTCTTTCTGTAACTGAGACAGGGCTACATCAGGGCTCTCTACAAAGCTGCCGCTAATGCTTTCGGAGCAGAGTTTCCCAGGGAGGAACAGCAGCACCGTTCCCGGCAGTCAGGGCTGCTGCTGACCTGGCTCCCCACAACTGGGCCCGGTCTCCTGCAGGTGGCTGCAGGAGCTGTGCTCAAAAGCTCCGAACGATTAAACAGCCAATAATGTATGTCCCTTGCTTCCCGTGCGATTTCCAGATTTTCATTTTGGTGTGTATTTGCTCAATAAAGCAGTGCTGCAGTATTCACAGCCAACTCATCAGACACCACACACTGTGCCGAGGCATCCTGTTGGACACTGAGGACTTGGCTGGAAGGTAACATGGCATCTGCTTTCAACACACTGCAGCTGCAGCTGTTTTGGGGGGTCTGTTAGAATTTATCCGTGCTACCTCCAGGGACTTTTACCTGCCTCTGCTGCCATTGCTGGGCCAAGAAGACCATGCAAATCTGCTTGGTCTGCTCATTTGAAACTTGAAATGCTCCAAAGTTCAAAACTTTTTGAGCACTGACAAAACACCCAGAGTGGAAAATTCCATACCTGATCTTGTGTGATGAGTTCTAGTCAAAAGGCAGGTACAATACAAATATTGAATAAAATTGTCTTTAGGCTTTGTGAATTGAGTATGTGTGAAATATAAATGAATTTTATATTTAGATCAAATTCCTCCTCCAAGATATCTCCTTCATATTCGGAATTATGAAAAAAATATGAAATTTCAAACCCTTCTGGCTCCAATCATTTCAGACAAGCATTATTCAGCCTCTCTTGTATTTCAGTAATTCACTGTAGACATGCCACAGGGGACTGTGGAAGCACAGAGAAAGGGCCTGGCTGTTTGTTGATAACCAGTGTAATTGGACAAACATCACTGTAAACTGTCTTACCTCTTGGTGGTCTGCAGGCTCACTGGCATCTACATTCTCATTCTTATGTGCCCTATCTCTCTCCTCTTCATATTTGAGGTGATAGGAAATGGATTGGGCTTTTTCAGCCTCTGTAAAGTCCTGGCTTGGGACAAAGTAGTCATCACCTGCACTGTGCTTTGAGTCATCATTATCAGTGTCAGCCCCGTGATTTCTGGGTGTCATGTGATTAACATCAGTAGGATCCAGGAGAAGAGCCTCAGAAACAGTCTTTTTATCTATGTCCTTATGGTCACCAATAGCCTTAAGGCCCATTTTTCCCTCTTGGCTCTGCCTTTCAGTATCTGGAGTGTGTTCACTGATGTTTGAGGCACTGTCTTCTTCCAGTCCTACATTGGAATTGTCTTCTTCTTTTTCCTGGCTACCTTGCTCCAGCTCATCCTCCTGCATCTTGCTTACTTGAGTTGGTTGATTGGCCTCTTCCAAGATATCATCGGGTTGCTCATTGTCTTCTTGCTTGCTGTTAGAATTGTCCTCAGGAAATTCTTTCTCCTTGTCTGGGTTGTCTGTGGGTGTGTCAGCTTTCCCTGGCTCTGTTTCTTCTTCCTCTTTTCCGTTAGGAATGTTTGCATCCTGCTCTTGGCTTTCTTCTTCTCTTAGGTCTTGGCTTTGTGTACTGTTCTTGTCCAACTGAAGGTGTGAATCATTCCCTGGCTGTTCTTGGTATCCTTCTCCCTTTGTGATATTTTCTTGTTGGTTAGAATCCACGAGGGAACTAACATTGGAGGCAGAGAAATCAGTATCCTCCTGGAGTTTCTTCTTTTGAGGCTCACCTGTATCTTCTTGTGGTTCTAAGTTACCTTCAGTTGTTGAATACTCTAAATTCACACTTAGTTCATCATCGCCGTCCTGTTCTTTTAAGCCCAGCTCATGACTCTGAGTCTTGTCCTGTTCTGCAGACAGCTCATGGGTTCCCTCTTCTGACCTTAATGTTGAAGATTGCTCAGCCTTAAAGGGAAAAGAAAGGCCTACTTGTTAAACAAATGATAATGCAATCACATTTCCTAAGGTAACATTTAATATTTAATCTTCCTTTTCTCCACACGTTATTGTACAAATGTATCTATGATGTCCTCATATTCTATAGATATGGATTTGACTAAAATCCAAATCTGCAGAATAAATAAGTGTCTTGTGCCTTAGCCTGAGGAGTAAAACTCGTTAACCCCCATGACTTCTTTTTTTTGGTATGGAGGATCAATCTCATGACCTCGCACTTGCCAGGCAGGCACTTGTGCTGCTGAGCTAAATCCCAGCCCTAACCTTATGACTTCTAATGATGATGGGCAGTTGATGGGATATGATGTTTAAATAATTTAAGTGGAGGCTTGAATATGGTAATCATTTTGACCTTGCTTTGATACTAAGTGTAGAAGTCAACCTGGCACCTCTTTTTAAATGCAGAACAATTGCTGCAACACTAGTTACCCTGCATCTTATTTCCACGTGCTGATATGTACAGAGCAGGCTATGCTATGCCATTCTCCCTTCGGTTGGCTCTAAGCGGTGCAAATAAGGCTAGTGAGGTGCTGGTGTGTAATCCTGGAGGCCAACCTGACAGTTTCCTGTGTCCTCCCACAGTGCTCTCTGTAAGGGACTGAGCACAGTGGGATGGCAGAGCCAGTCAACTCCAGGAGTGTCAACTGGGCAGAGGCCTCAAAATAAGAGGCTGTGACTCCCCAGGCCACAAAAATTTACATATCAGAAACTGAAGCAACGGCCTCCTAAAACTGTAAAGATGCTGCCCCAATTGAATCATGCAGGCTTGTCCTTCTGCATATCATTCATTCTCCCTGCATATTGCAGAGATGCTTTTCTCCTCACCTTGTTAGCCAGCTCAAGTTATTCCTGTAGTTCCTGCCATCCTCCCTGTCACTCATCCTTGAACCACTCCCTTCTTCATGAGATAATAAGTTCTGGGAGAGGCCTTGGGTCAGGGCCTTTGTCTTCATGTCCTCACTTGGATCCTTCATGTCCTCACTTAGATGGGACTTATGACCCCTCAGCTGCATAACTGCATAACTGCATAACTGCATAACTTTGCATATGTTTTAGCATCTTTACACTTGTGGGTTGCACTGGAGGTGGTAGATTGAAATTAACTAGCTAGAATTCCAATAATGTTTCTATGGGATTGCAAAATAACTTTCTGGATTATGAGTGACCTGGAAAAAGGATTACAATATATGGTTTACAATATATAATAATTGGATTACAATGTTACAAAAGATTGCTATTAGGATTACAATATTGGGACTTCAATAATTAATTCCTTATGAGAACTAAAACTAGTATATTAATATGATGATGCTACTTTTACCTTGTGATTGGGGTGGTTTTCTTTGGATCCTGTGGTTTCCTTCTCATTGTCTGCAGCATCAGCACTTACGATAGGAATTTCCTTGTTGTCCGGCATTACCAGTGGCTCAGCAGTTGATTTAGAATGATCAGGTAGAAATCTTGCATTTGTCTGAAAAGATTAAAAACTTATTTGTGTTATTCATATCTACATGCCAATTTGAAAGTTGGTGGTTTTTCTTTTATTATTAGTAGTAGCTCATTGCTTCATTCATATCATCAGGTGAAACACTCTCCCAAAGTTCCAAGGGTGCATGTGAATGCTCAGAATATAATTTTTTCCTCTGCCCGCCGTGCCCCACCCCGCCCTCCTCTCCTTTCCTCTCCCTTTTCCTCTCTCTCTCTCTCTCTCTCTCTCTCTCTCTCTCTCTTTTCTTTTCTTTTTTTGATACCAGGAATCAAACTTAAGCCCTCACACTTACCAGGCAGGCACTGTGCCACTGAGCCGTATCCCCAGCCCCCAGAATATAAAAAGTGAAAAAAATTCTAATTGTTCTTAAGGAAAAGTTATACAGTGTAGGGAAAGATTGGGTGAAAATCGAACAACAACAAAAGAAGAGCTCAATAATGACTGCCTTTGTGTTTTGGAATTATTTTTTGTTCTTTAAACTTTTACAAAGCATTAGTACTATATAATCTTGAAAAGTGTTACTTATTGTAAATTTAAAGTCAAATAAAATTAACCATAAGGTATAGGATTGGAAATTTCCTTAATACTTATGTCTTCATAAAGGTTATAGAAGTATTTTATTAAATATTTATTTTGTTGGCCTTAATATCCACCAGGAAATGTTTTCACAAAAAGCATTTTAATCTAGAACTAATTCAAACATCAAATGAAGCAAGACAGCCGGCCTGGTGGGTAAAGGGACCATGGGGGGTTCCCGGGGGGGGGGGTGCCAAGACCTGTGCCTGCTTCCAGCGAGGCTGTGATGGATGATGGGGAAGCGGAACAGCTAGACTTCAGGGTGAGGTGTTCCTTCAGCTCTTGATGCTGCTATTTACTTTTTATGCGTGGTTTGACAAGTTAATTTCTACGCTATCATCTCTTAAGTTGAACTGAGTTGAAACACCAAGTTAAATTTAGGTACATAAAATATACTTTAAATTTTGAAAAGTTACTCAATTTAAAATTATTATTCTTAATAGCAGTATCATGTGGGAGTTATAATATGAACTGCCCATTACCTGAGCAGGTATTCGCCATAGATTTTTCTTATGGAGATGCTGTGAATATCAGGCAATACCAGATGCAAGCAGGAAGCACACACTTGGGAAACAGAGTCAATTTTACTCCATTAGCAAGCCTATAAGGCTGTCTGTGTACTATAAAGGCAAGCCATGGGGTACAGATCTACCTTAGAGATAGTTTCTTCTTTTGCTTCTTATCCCTTTTCAACTAAGGAGATTATAGTCTGACAAAGTTTCAACAAAAACCATGAAGAAAGGGAAAAGAAGAAAGAGTGGGGTCTATTTTGGTGCACTGCCATAGACAGTGGTGAGTGGGGAAATATTAGGCTTCTTGGTGGGGGGCCACGCTCCCTCTGCTCCCCGCTTCTTCCCCTCTGTCATTTCCTCCCCCAGCAGGAAGCTGCTCCCATTCTTTTGGTTAAAATTCTCCCTTTTTGGCATCCCCTGATTATATTTATTTCATATGCCGCACAACCGATTTGAACTTTGCAACCAGGCAGAATCCAAGCAGCTGAGAAAAATGATAGCAAGGTTTTTAATAGGTCAATCCTCTGAGGAGATCCAGTATTTCGCATTTGACTGGGTATTTCTACCACATCGCACTAGAACAGAAACATCTGGAATGTGTCTATAGGCACACATAGCATCCAACAGACATTTGGTTCAAAGACGCTTTTGATCCTTATTTAAAAAGCCAAAACATTCCAAAGGCAAAACAGCTTTCAGGAGAAAACAATGGTTTGATGGGTGGGAACTCTTTTCTGTGATAATTTTTTCCAACTTTGTAATTTCTGAGGACAATGTGTAATTTCAGCTGAACTGGCCCCATGCTCCTTAAGCATGATTCTCAGCTGTGTCATAAATTCCATTTTTTTTATTTCTTTTTTGGATACCAGGGACCCAAACTCACAACCTTGCACTTGCCAGGCAAGCACTTAGGCCACTGAGCTAGATTCGTGGCATATATTCCATTTTCTAAAAGTTACTTGTAAAGGGCGGTGCGGACTTGGTTCTGCTGACACAGGTGTCGATCTGAAGCAGCCATCAGTTATTCAAAAAGCAAGAGGAGAATTTTAGCCCTAGACAGAAAGGGAGGTGAGGGGCAACAGAGAAAGGGCTTTGTCTTTTTAGAAGAGTTTATTTCTTCCATTTGATAAAAAAAAGTGTATAAATCCTTGGGTTTAGCTGAAGATGGTATGAATCTTTTGTGGGACACCTAAAATGACCATCCAAACCCTGGTTCCACTCTCTGCCCTGCTTCAGGCTGCTGACCTGCTCTCCAAGGAGATGGTGTGTGTGTGGCTGCCTCACTGTGGGTGAGCAGTGGGACCAGTCCGCCTGGCCCCACAGTGGAGAATGCACTAGTCCTGTCTGCTTGCTCCAACAGCCTCTAAAAGATGAGCAATTTGTGGTAACCACAGCATTTTTGGTTCCTAACCTTTTGATTCTCATTTTTCTTACAGATTCCGAATTTCTCAGTCAGTATATGTTTGACCTTGAAGAAAATGCTGGCAAGTTAGCTTTGCATTCCAAGTTAATTTTTTCTATGTCTCACAGCAATGTGGAAAAATCCACAGGAGAAATTGTCTTCCTATTCTTTTGGTATTTGGCCATATTCTTTAGTTCATAAACTGATAGTACTTTTAGCTGCATATTCATTGTATCTTATAGAACCAGATAGTTCTGAAAAATATTTTTTTAATGTGCCTTATCTTGATTTTTTAAGTCATGCATTCAGTGTTGGGCAATAAAGACAATAATTTAAACAAACAAGAGATTTCAAGCCAGTACTTAAGGAAATATTCTTTTAGGTGGAGGGTTTCTAAACTGAATGTCAGAGAATGTTACCGGGATTGCCACTGCAGTTCCCAAGAGACACAGCAAAAAGGGTACGGTCTTCATGGCGTCCAGACCTGTGGACCAAGAAGATGGTTTCAGTGACGGGTGGATGTTAAAAGAGATTGATGCAATCTTAGCGAATAGTATGTTTTAGATTATTATTGCCTTTATAGAATAACAGGTCTGAAAAACAGACTCATGACAACTATTACCTAATCTTTCCTCTGTGAAAGTTGCTTTTTGCTTCTTTGGCTTTTACAAGAAAGTAAGCATTAAACTGTCGGCAGCACCACCAAGTGGCAAGAGCCCTCGGGCAGACCACTTACTCTTTCTTAGAAATGGTTTTCTCAGGTGAGGGACCATGAAAAGGGCCACCTAGGTGATTATCTGGCTCTAACATTTTAGGATTCTAAAACCAAACACAATTCATGAACCTCTAAGTGCTGCTTAAATTACCAGACCCTCTAAAATATATTCCATGATTGTGTCAAAATAAAATTTTTATATATAGAATTTAAAGTTAATCTTAAGATACATATGCTATTATTGATGATCATTTAAAAACTTTTCCCTCTATATTCCAAAATTTACCATTTATTGAGTAATTCATTCCACAAGTATCTGTTAATTTATAGAACTACAGTTGCTTATATTTAGGTCAACATTGTACTATTATATTGTGTCTGATACTATAGAAGTACAGGGTGGTATGGTATAGCACAGCACCATTAACACTGGGGCTGGGTTACTCTGTGTTGAGGGGGGCTGTCCTGTGCACTGTCCCCGCCTCTACCCACTGCGTGTCAGTAACCCAGTCCTAGTTATGACTACTGAAAATGTCTCCAGACATTGCCAAGTGTTCCCCAGGGAGCAACACTGAGAACTACTAGTTTAAAGGAAGGAACAGGGTATTTTTCTGTTAGAAAGACAAGTGTCTGAACTCTGGACCAACACTAGCCATTTGCATGGTCTTTGGCAAGTTCTGCAGCCCTCTGACCTCAGCTGTCCTGCCTGAGAACAGGGTTAACATCTCTGACAGTTGTATGCTTCAGGCTGACTGGGCCACTGGATGCCCAGATATTTGCTTAATCCCTGTTTCTGGATGCCCCTGTGAGGTGTTTTTGGAAGAGATTTGCATTTGAATCCATTTGCATTTGGACAGAATGAAGCAGATTTCCCTACCCAGTGCGAATAGGCATCATACACCCTGTTAAGGGCCAGAATGGTCCTGAAACCAGAGGAAAGGAGGGTTCTGTTTGTCTGTCTGCTTGGGTGGACATCGGTCAGGCTGGGGCTTATGCCATCACCCTTCTACTGCCTAGGCCTCTGGACTTGGACTAGAACTCAGACCATCAGTTCTCCTGGTTCTGAGCCTTCAGATTGAGACTGTCTCACTGGTCTTTACCTTGGAATTCTCAGCCTCTAACCACAGGAGCTAAGTCCGTGCAACAAATCTCTCTCTTTCTCAGTTTTCTGGAGAGCCCCACTATATCTAATGTGGTTTCATAAAGTTTAGAAGGGGTGCCTGACATACAGGAGTTGCTTGATAAACCTTAATTCTCTTATTTTCCAAAGAAGTTGTTATGATTCCTAAATAAACAATTTAGAGTCTAAGAAAATAATATAAATTTTGCTAATAGACAAGAAAAACTGGGTTAAATGCAACAGATTTTGAATTTGCATAATTATTCTTGAAAACTTAAATGTGCAACACTGATGTGAAATTAGATAAATGTTACTCCTCCAAATGTATGAGCTTATTCAGAGCCAGATGTATAGTTGAAAGGATATTTAATACAGAATTGGAAGATCTAAGATCCAGACCTAAATTACTTTTCACACGAAAGACTGGTTAAATCACAGATGTTTTTCATCTATCGACACAGGAAAACCAGTTGCATCTTTTCTGTTTATTCTCAGAGGTTTGTATTTTTTATTTTTTTGTTTTGGTACTGAGAAACTCGTGACCTCACACTTGCTAGGTAGGTGCTGTGCCACTGAGCTAAATCACTGGTCCTAGAATTATTTTGAGACTGAAATGTGATCATTAACCATTTGGTAATTTCACCAACTATAGACAAGTGATTATCATTTCTTTATACATGGTAGTAGAAAATGTCTTAATCCGAATAACTAATAATTCATAAGTATTCTATTTCTTAAGTGTACTAAAATGATGTCCTTCTTCTTCTTCTTCTTCTTTTTTTTTTTTTTTTTTTTTGCCTTTTTGAGACAGGGTCTCACTACCCAGTTCAGGCTGGTCTTGGGCTCGCTTTGTAGCCCAGACAGGTCTCAAACTTGCAAATGATTCTCCTACCTCAGCCTCCCAAGTGCTGGGATTTAAGGAGTGTGCCACTGTGCCCAGCTTTTGATGTCTTTTTTATACCACTGCTTATTTTCAGAAATCTAGAAAGGCTGAGATGAGGGTTGGTGGGGAACTTCAAAGAAACCCTTTTTCTTCTGCTAGATACAATGTGTGTCATCAGCAGACTCCCAGAATTCCAGTGGATGGCTAGACTGCATTTTATAGGTAAAGACTTTTTGGGGAAACTCAGTATGTAGCATTTCAAGTTCCTAGCCAATCTGTCACTAAAACAAGTACCTAGATGAAATATTGGGTGTGACAGAAATAGGTCTTCCACTGAGAAACAAACATAAATACCAGCTCTCTTCTAACCAACGTGGGGGCTTCCTGAGGCAATTTCTTACATTTCTAATGTAACGTAGATAAATACTGTGGTAAAGATCGCAGTACGTTCTTTGCTATCTGTCTCATTGAGAGGTGGGATCTCACTTTCCTCCCTTAAATCTGGGCTATCCTTGGTGACTTACTCAACAAGATGATTTATGTTCTGAGATCTTCTAGGCCAGCTCATAAGAAGCCCTGGAGTTTTCCTCTGAATATCTCAGAACTCTCATTTTGGGAATCTTAGCCACTTGAACAATGTTGTCATGCCACAGGCAACACCGTTTAACAGTCCCTGATGATCCACTGGCTTTCCTCTGTCCTTTTAGTGAACAGGACATGCGAGTGGAGACATCTGGGGCACTGCAGACTGGCTGTCCTCTGGGTGACCTGCCCAGACTCCTGAGCCACAAGATCTCCAGACTTTATAAAATGATTAGGTCCCTAACTTTGTTCATTGCAATAAATAATTGAAGTAAGTATTAATGATTTAATGTAGAATGTGACATTACATTCATATGTTTAGTGCATTATGCTACACTCAAGTGTAACATAAGTGGAATCATTTGAATTCACCAATGTAATATTTCATTGAAAAGTACATTTTCATAATTGGCTTTAATGACAGCTGACAGTATATGCCAGGTATTGTGGCAAGCACTCACCTACCACCCCTACTGCCCTGGGACCACACCTTCACTTCACAGCCGTGTCACCCGTGGGACCTCCTGAGCATTGCACTTGGCCACTGCACCCATTTCGGTCATGGAAATCGAAGGACACCCAAAAGGGACGGCTTTCAGGAACACTCTCCATCTGTTTCTTTTGCTTGGAAGACATTAGAGCATTTCTCCTCTGCCGTACTGTGTAGCTGGGGGTTACCATGATTAGACTGACAGGATCCCTCCGGGCTGCTCGTGGGTAAGTGGTGCTGACCACCTCTCCACACCTCGTCAGCATTCCATCCAGGGCTTCTCATGCTTCCACACCACTCCGAGCTCTGCAAGGTCTAGATCCACACCAGAGCTCTCCCTGCCCCAGTGTAACAGGGGAAATTATTTTGGCCATTTTGGTTTTTTTTGCTTAAGTCATCTATGTTACCTGTCCTCCTTCTTTTCTTTCTCTGTGAATGCAGGGTTTCCTTACATTCACATTCACTCCCCTGCAGTGATGTGTCTGATTCTTTTATTTTTTAGAAAAGAAGGCTCCACATACTGCTTACCACGGATTCTATATCCAATTCTAATATGCTTCACTAGAAAGCCTGTGGCATTTGTGGTTTTGCAGAAATTAATAATAATTGAATGCTTTAGTTCATTGTAAGTAGGATGAAAATGGGCCTTTGGCAGCCCAGCCCTTGAAAATGGGCAGATAGTTTAATTCTGTTCTTTTCCTGCCTTTAGTTGTATCCCTACCCCTTAATTTATTTTTCTCTACTTCCCTGGAATTTCTTTTCTCTGAATGCCTTGTTCTTGGCTTTCTTCTCTGACCGCTTGTACTTGAATTTCCCTCAGTAGTTAAACTCTACTAATATAAAATAAAACTCCCTTGGATTCAGCGGAAATTGTCTTTTGTTAATAGAGTGAGCGAGTTGTTAAATTCTGCTAGTAGAGAGGAACTTCAAGTGCTTTCAGCTCTCTGAATGGATCAAAAATTATTCATTGGGGGAGTTCTCTTCCAGGATTAAGAAAAGCAGCAAATAATACCCAAGCACAGTTCCAAGTAGCCTCATTCTCATGGTACTGGGACCCTCAGGGGAACAATGATGTGCTTTGAGGAGTATTTAGTTCTGTGTGAACCTTGAATGAAAGTGCTCACTGCAAGCAGAAGTCCCTGCAGGATTCAGCCCATGGTCAAAGCTTCTCATGTACCTCCATCAGGGCCAACGCATTTAATAGGGGAAACCACTGCTTGCCTGGTGGTGTCGCATTACTTACGATCTGGTTTCTCTGAAAGATGTAGATACAGTTAATCCTAATGGATTTCATGGGTGGAGTCAGAGTTCTTTGAAAACAGGGGAGAAAGCTGTGGCTTGTTTGTGTCTTTGGAAGGAACACTCTAGGAAGATTCTCTCAAGCAAGGAAAAATTGCAGCTGGTCTACAGCTGGTCTGAAGCTGTTTCTTCTCCTCCCACCCTGGGAAGAGGTTCCCTCTGGATATCAGGGTGTGTTCCGTGTGCTTCTGCTGACCCACTCTCTTCTCCTCCTCCTGGTTCTATCTGGGCCTGTACAAATGGGTTCTCCTGCCCTGTGTTTTCTGGTGTTTTCAGTTAATAGGGAGCCCTGGCAGGAAGGGTTGGAGGGAAGGAAAAGAATAAAGCTGGGGTGTGTATTTTTTCTGAGCCCGTGTTCCTTTCCTGCGGGTCAAGGGCTCTCCTGGTGAATTCAC